GCTTGAATTAACATTTGACTTGTTATTATTCATAAACTTATAGATTTAGAGCTAGAAGGCACCTTAGAGGCCATCTAATCCAACTCCCTTTCGTTTTAAAGATGAAGAAACTGGGGCCCAGAAAAGTGATTTGCCCAAGGTCACACAGACAGTGAATGTCAGAGGCAGGATCTGAACCTAGGTCTTTTGACTCCAGAACCAGCTGGTCAACAGGTATTTATTAAGCTTCTACCATGTGCCAGGCATGGTTGTTCATTTTTCAGTCATATCCAACTCTTTATGACCCCATTTGGGATTTTCTTAGCAAAGATACTGAAATGGTCTGCCATTTCCTTCTCCAGCTCATTTTACAGATGAGGAAACTAAGGCAAACAGGGTTAAGTGACTTGCCCAGGGTCACACAGCTAGTCTTAGGTCATATTTGAACTCAGAAAGATGAGTCTTCCTGACTCTAGACCTGGCACTGTAACCATTGTGCCACCTAACTGTCCACCAGGCATGCTACTAAGCTCAATGTGGATGCAAAAAAGGGAAAAGACAGGGCTTGCTCTCAAGGAGGTCACAGTCTAACCAGGAAGACAACATGCAAACAACTATGAACAAAGAAGGTATACTCAAGATAAATGAATGCCTCAAACTGCTGTTGTTCAGTCATTTTCAGTCATATCCAACTCTTCATGACCCCATTTGGAATTTTCTTGGCAGAGATGCTGGAGTGGTTTGCCATTTCCTTCTCCAGCTCATTTTACAGATGAGGAAACTGAGGCAAACAGGGTTTAAGTGACTTGCTCAGAGTCTCACAGCTAGTAAGTGTCTAAGGCCAGATTTGAACTCAGAAAGATGAATCTTCCTGACTTCAGGCCCAGCATTCTATCCATTGAGCCACCTAGCTACCAAATGCCTCAGACGGGAGGCAATAAGGTTAAGGAAGATGGAGGAAAGATTTTTTGGTAGAAGGTGAGATTGAGACCTGAAGGAGTCCAGGGAAGCCAGGAGAGGGAGATGAGAAAAGAGAGCCTACCTGGCATGGGAGACAGCCAGTGAAAATGCTTGGAGTCAGGACATGATGTCCTGGGTGGGGATCTGCATGGAGACCAGCATCACTGGATCGCAGAGTAGGGGGAGGGAATTAAGGTACAAAAAGCCTGGAAAGGGAAGGAGGGGCCAGGTTATAAAGGGCTTTTGAAAGCAAAGGGGAAGGTTTTATATTTGCTCCTGGAGGTGATAGGACGCCAGTGGAATTTATGGTCAGACCTGTACTTTAGAAAGATCACTGACAGCTAAGGAGAGATTGAGGGGAGAGATTTGAGGCAGGGAGACTTAATGAGCTGGCTGCAATAGTCTAAGTGGGAGATGATGAGAGTCTCCACCAGCGTGGTTGTAGATGGTATCAAAAGCTAGAAAGGGACTTCTATGAGAGATGTTACTGAAGATGCAAATGGCAGGACAGGACAGGACCAAGGAGGGGTGAGAGAGTGAGGAGTGGAGGACAACGCTTAGTTTGTAAGCCTAGGTGACGGGGAGGATGGTGTTTTTTTTTTTAACTGTGTCAGGTACCCTACAAATCCTAGGCCTGGGAAAGAGGAGACTTAGGGCAGCTAGGTGGCACAGTGGATAGAGCACCAGCCCTGGAGATAGGAAGGCCTGAGTTCAAACCCAGCCTCAAGACACTTACTAGCTGTGTGACCCTAGGCAAGTCACTTAACCCCAATTACCTTAAAAAGAAAAAAAAGGAGACTTATTCAAAGGGCAATTTAGACCTTTAAAAAGGAAGAAGAAGGAACTTGTCCATTCCTGAAAATCCTGGCAGCATGGACGCTGGCCCAGCTTGCCTTGTGGAGGTTGTCCGATTCTCCATCCAGAGTCCCTGGACTCCACAGATTGAATACCCCAGAACAGCGACTCAATGATCCCCCTTTAGAAAACACTCCCGCACCATCCCCACCCAAAACCAAGTCGGAGCCCCTGCCCACCCCTCCTTGCTCAGGGAGGAAAATGCTCTCTGAAAACCTGTGTGAAACCCCTGCTAATTCCCCACACGTTCTGCTGGTTTATGGCAGTCACTGCCACCTCGGCTCTCTCCATCTGTTGCCTCTCATAGCAGAAGAAACTCAGGCCCTCACCAGCAGGAGCCGTGCAGGGGGGCCATGATTCATTACTTCCGGTGATCCCAATAGCATCCCTCCCTGAGTCAGGAACAGAGCATACCAACTGCTGGCCAGCCCCAGCATTGTCACCCAGATCAAGCTGGTTTAGCTCTGCCTTTCAGGCTCAATCTGGTGGCTGCCGCTGCCTCTCCAGAGTGATTTCCTTGCTAGTGAATGCTAGAGTTTGCCTTTGTCTCATCCACAACGCCATAACTAGGTACCTGTATTAGGTACACCCTCACCATAGTACCTTCCCCTACTCAGGCCCTTACAGCCACTAGTCACACTGTTTCTCTCTTAGTGTAGAGGAAAGAGTGACAGCCTTAGAATCAAAGGACCTGGATTTAAATCCCAATCTGTTCCTTCCTAGCTATGTGATTTGGGAAAGTCAATGAATGAATGAATGAATGAATGACAAAGCATATATTAAACACCTACTAAGTTCAAAGCACTGGGAATACAAACATAAAATACAAAAACAGGAGCTTATGTTTTATTTTATTCTTTTCATTTTTATTATTTTTCTTTAATAGTATTTTTTCCAATTACATGTAAAGACAGTTTTCAATGTTCATTTTTGTAAAATTTTGAGCTCCAAATTTTTCTCCCTCCCTCCCTTCCTTCCTCCCTCCCCTCCCCCTTTCCCAAGAGAGCAAGCAATCTGATATAGGTTATACATGTACAATCATGTTAAACATATTTCCACATTAGTCATGTCATGAAAGAAGAATCAGAACAAAAGGGGGAAATCACAAGAAAGAAAAAACAAAAAAATATATAGAGCTTACATTTTAAAAGGGAAGGCACCATACAAGAGAGAATGATGGCCAAGGAAGCATACTTTGGACAAGGAAATTACAGAGATGGTGACTGGGGTGTAGACTGACCCGTTCCATCCAGGAATAATGGGAGAGTTGATTTGAACATGGTTCTTGGTTTCAGAACCGTAGAGATGGAGAGAGAACAAGGAAATGTACCCACTGGGATTGTGGGGCTGGGGTGGGGAGGCAAGGAGGTTGTTAAGGTTACAGAGGAGATGGCTGGAGAGTCAGGAGTGAAGTGAAGTACACCTGGGAGTTTTTCTTGGAGTAGTGGTCTGGGAGAGGTAGTTACCAATTAGGAAAGCAGGGACCACAGGGCAGAAGTTTCTCCTGAGTGGGGAGGAGGATGGCAAGGCTATCGAGATGGCCGAGAGGAGAGAGTGATTACCTCTAAGGTGTCTTCCGGCTTTAAATCCATGGTCATGATTGCCTGCATCCATCCTCTATCTCCCTCATTTATTTCTCCTTTATCCTACACCTTGTGCCCTGCACGTTGTAGGTGTTCAAAAATGTAGATTAACTAGAAGTTTGACTCATTCCTCGGCTCTGGGTGGAAATGGATAGGGAATTTTCCCAAACTTTGATTGCATAAATATGGGCGGTAGTAGGACAGAGGAAGGGGAAAGAGATAGCTCTTAAATCTGGCACTGGGCATGGAAATTTCAATTTCCATTCCCTACTACTCTTTCTCTTTGCCTCCCTACTCTCCCCAACCCTCTTACTGAGATCCTAGTTAGGGACAAGAAGTGGGGAGCTGACGTTGAACTTGGGCCAGCCTTGAAGCCAAGTGAAAGAAGGCACAGAGACATTTGTTCCTTCCAGAGGACCTCAAGTGGTCGTTGCTGATGTCTCCTAAGCTCAGGACTAAAGGAACAGAAACCAACCGTGTCCCGTAGGTTATTGACATCACCTTGGCTCTGCCCTAAGTCTTTCTGCCCGCAAAGGATCATGGATGTAGAGCTGTACATTACCTGAGAAGCCACCTGGTCCAACTTTACCCCTGCCTCTTCCCTTTTTTATGTAAATGAGGAAACTGAGGTTCGGGGGAAGTCGAGGCACTTGCCCAGTCACACATGCCAGAAGCAATGTGATGCAACGTAAAGAGTATTGGATGTTCCTGGTGAACTTAGAGTCACGGGACCTGTGTTCACATCTCAGTTCTGCCATTTACCTCCACCTATGGTACTGGGCAAATCTTTGAACCTCTTGGAGCCTCTGTTTCCTCTTCTAGAAATTGGTTGGATTAGGAGGGCTGTTAAGTCCCTTCTGGACCTAGATCAGTGATCCTATGAATCCAAGGTCTTGAATTCCATGGTAACAATTATCCCTCAGCCATCTTCGTCCCTAGAATCAGGGAAGGCTTACCCTCTCCCATCGCCTTTCTGGATCCCTGAAGTCAGAGTGGTGTGAAATCTGCCCAAAGTCACTCCTTGATTCTCTAAGCATTTACTGAATGCCTACTATGTACTCTGTCCTGATCCTATCACCATCTATCACCATATCACACCTACCCAAGTTTAGGACCCTGAGTTCAGGAAGCCTGGTCTTCTCTCTAATAAGACTTGTTATGAGTAAAAAAAATCAGCATAGGTCAGGTCAACAAACAGGGTTCCATCCTAGGATTGCTGTTGTTCAGTCGTCTCAGTCGTGTTTGACTCTCTGTGACTCCTTTTCGGATTTTCTTGGCAGAGATGTTAGAGTGTTTTGCCACTTCCTTCTCCAGCTCATTTTACAGTTGAGGAAACTGAGGCAAACAGGGTTAAGTGACTTGCCCAAGGTCACGCAGCTAGTAAATGTCTGAGGCCAGATTTCAACTCAGGAAGATGAGTCTTCCTGACTCTAGGTCCACTGCTTGATCTACTGTGCCATCGACTTGCCCCTAAGAGCATGAGTAACCAAAGCACTGAAAAGCCCTTGTTATAAAGCCTAGAACATGAGTTCTTCACTGTATTCCTGAAGCCAGGTTTTCTTCTTTACTGATAATTGGATGACCCTTCAACCCCACTCCTGTGTCTGTGTCTTTCTCTTCCAGCAGGCTCCTTGAAGGTACCACTCCCATCTCCAGCTGTGGCTCAGCCAAACACCTGCATGCACCACCAGCCCTTCTACTCCTACCCCTGGAAACATGGAGAGCCTGAATGATGTGCACAATCCATTGCTGGCCAGGAGTAATGGTCACCTCCCCAATACGTATCCCTTCCATGAGGACTCTGCAACTTGGGACTGCCAGGAGAAGCTCTATTCCTACTTCTTTGGTGGTGCTGGCCAGGCCAGAACCCACCAACTGTTAGATGCAGGGTCCCTGCAGCTGGCTGTAGAGGCACTGTATGGGTCCAACTTTCTCCTTGTGAAGGACAAAGCTAAGGAGTGGAAAGAAGATAGTTGTGAGACTACCTTCACAGAAGGCAAGGAGCCCCAGGTCAGCACCCCTGAAGGAGCCCAGAGACCTGGCCAGGCGGAGGAGGATGCCAAGATTCAGACGGTATCCTTCAAAGTAGAAGATGAGTTTCTGGAGGTGGAAGAAGAAGAAGATGATGAGGTGAGTTTGATGGAAAGAGAACAGAGTTCTCCTGTCTCTGCCTCTGTCTATCACTGTGAAACCTTGGGTAAGTGACTTAAACTCTCTAAGCCTTCGTTTCTAAAATAGTTGCTATTCGGATCTGTTACTGCATACTCTTCTGCTTTTCATGTGTACTCATGGGAAATATTAGACTATTTTTATACTGTGCCATATCTCAACTTCCCTTTTGAAAATGCTGCTGTCCCCGGCACTAAGATGACAGTCTTAGATTCCCAAAAGCTGTCATTCAACCTGACACACCCCGGAACCTGGACTAGAGGCAGCCTAAGTGCTAGGGTATAGATTGTGATTGGTCCAGTCCAGGGTTCCTCTAGGGCAGCATTTCTTAAACTGTAGGTCACGACCCCGTTGCAAAAAATTTCAGTAAAAAATTTCTGAAAACAGTAAAAAACAGTAAAAGATTTCTGAAAGGGCAATGACCAAAAATTAATTAAAAATCAAACACATAATGGATCACAGGTGTTTCTAGTAGTGCTTGCCCATGTTACATCGTGCAACTTCACTGCAGCCTTGGTTCTGAACGTAAAGCATGTGCACTTTGCACTGTGCATGCCCTCAGGCCACACAATGCCAACAAACGCTGCCAAAACATGAAAAAGGGTCATGAGTGGAAAAGGGGTTCACGAGTGGTGTGGGGTATCTAAAGGAGCTACCTATGGATCTGGAGTGGAATTAGCCCCTGGTTGTTTCTGGGTCCAGGGTTCCTGGAATGGGGGCACCTTATTCCCAAGTTCTCACTTTCCTGGACTGATATAACCTAGAACAGGGAACCTGTGGCCTTGAGGCCACGTGTGGCCCTTTTGGTCCTCAAGTGCAGCCTGATAGTCAAAGGGCTGCACTTGAGGACCTAGAGGGTCACATGTGCCCTCGAGGCTGCAGGTTCCCTACCCCTGATCTAGAACATTCTTAATTCCAATAGGAATCGTGCTCCCCGACTATCCCATGTGGTAGAGATCTAGGACAGGAAACTTTTCTTAGGCCATTCCTCTTTGGGATATATACGTTAGCAGTTAGGGGGCCATTGGGCCAGCCTTCCTCTAGAGCCCCAGAACAGAGGGGCAGCCTCATGTATATTCATTCACTGAGTCCTCCTCTTCCTGCACTACTATCATCATCATTAGCACTCAAGATTGTACAACTCAATTTCCTCATAATCAATCAATCAACAAGTATTTATTAAATACCTACTACATGCCTACTATAGAGAATAAAAGTACAAAAAAATGAAGTAATCCCTCCTTGCCATGAGCTTATATTCTACTGGAGGAGACAAATCCATATAAAAATATGTGCAGCATAAATGTAAAATAAATGATACAAAATAGTTAAACACAATATTGTTTAGGAGGAAAGGGTCTTAGCAGTTGGGGGAAGTCAGGAAAGGCTAACTAGGTGCCTGAGCTGCATCTTAAACTAAAAAAGACTCTATGAGGGAGGGGTAAAAGGAAGGAGTGCATTCCAGACGAGGTCACCCCATTAGTATATGTGAAGAGCTGAGCTCCAGTTGTCCTACCTATGTCTTGCCACTGGACTCTGATGACTCTGGAGGAGACTTTGCACAGCTCTGCCTCACTTAAATCTAATTCACTTGCAAGTCAAGACATCACCCTCCTGATGTCATAGGTTCTCTTCAAGAATGAAGGATAAACAATAACAAGAGCTGAGACTTAAACCCAGGTCTTTCAATACCCCAGACAGACTCCTACTAGGCATTATGTAGAAGATGGGATTCCTAGGGCAGCTAGGAAGTGGCGTAGCAGATAGAGCTGCGGCCTTAGAGTCAGGAGGACCTGAGTTCAAATCTGGCCTCAGACATTTGACACTTACTAGCTAGGTGACCCTGGACAAGTCACTTAACCCCAACTGCCTCACCAAAAAAAAAATAGAAAAAAAGAAGATGGGATTCCTGTAAGGGTCCTGTGGATAGACCTCAGGAGATCTCTAACCTGGTTTTTTTTAGTTATTATTTTAGTAACTGTATTTCAATATAATTGGGTCTTATGTATGGTGGAGGAAGGGATGGAGGGAGAGAATTGGGAATTGGGGAAAAAATAAAATTGAATAAATGTTTCAGAGAAGGGGTTCATAAGCGTCATCAGACTATTAGAGGGGTCCATGACACACAAAGAGTTAAGAAGCCCTGTTCTAAAAGGAGGGAAGGGCAAACACTAAAAGCCAAACATCTCAAATCTGGTACCCAGTATCAAAGATATTCTCACCCTCAGGCTTAGTTTAGATTCTGGGACCCCTCCCTTCCCTTCCGGCCTCCCAAGGCAGGAACTCTGTCTGTTAAGCTGTCTAGCTTAACCCCCCTCCCACTATCTTCCAGAGTGATTCTTCCAGCGTCAGTGAGAGTGAAGATGGGTTTCTCACTCTACCACCCCGGGACCACCTTGGCCTCGCCATCTTCTCCATGCTCTGCTGCTTCTGGCCTCTGGGCATTGCTGCCTTCTACTTCTCACAAAGGGTAAGTTTCACTGTGGGGCATCTGTAGGTGGGGTGTGGGATGCAGGATGGAGCGTGACTTTTCTTTCCAATGAAAGGACCATCCTGGCTGTGCTTTACACCATAAAGGAAAGCCTGATTTTTGATACTAGTGCCTTCTACCCACAAGCAATCAGAGGACTGTGAATTGGGCAGTAACTTCTAGCCCTGGGATGGGGTACTTCTGGGCCTAGGAAGTGGCGTCTCAGCTGTGTCTAATAAAAACCTGAGAAACAACTAACAAAATATAAAGATAGATAACTGTGTGTATGTATATATGTATATATATATATACATATACACATATATATGTATATATGTATGTGTATGTATATGTGTATGTATATGTATATGTATATATGTGTATGTGTATATGTATATGTATATGTGTATGTGTATGTGTATGTATATGTGTATCTGTATGTGTATGTATATGTATATGTATATGTGTATGTGTATGTGTATGTGTATGTGTATGTGTATGTGTATGTGTATGTGTATGTGTATGTATATGTGTATGTATACAGCCAACCCTTCAACAATCCCCATACTGGCTTTGCAGCACATGGGACTATGCTCTTTCATTTTCTCAGTGTCTTCTCCTCCCCACCACCCAACAAAGTTGTTCTTTAAGATATTCTTTTCCCATCAAAGCTACCCTTGATAGTTTAGGGTGGTTTTCTTTTTCTTTTCAAGCATGATCTCACTTGGGTAACTGCTGGGGGTGAGGTGGGTGCCGTATAAGTTGTCCAAGATATCATGCCTATGGGGACAAATAGGAATGGCCCTGTCCTACCTTTCCTCCAAGACAGTTTCATTCCATTTCTAGTGGCGCCCATTTACTGAAATGATCCACTCCTATTCTTTTGGCTGGCTTAAGTCAGGGACTTTTAGAGAATGACCAAAAAGAAGGAAGAATCGAGTTAAATCAAAGCCCTGGGGAATGACATTCTTTCCCTTGTGGGCCTGTACCACCCACATCCCCATCTTCAAGAAGCCTATGAAGGATGGGTCCAGAGGAATAGGGGTCCTGCTTATGTGGCTTCTGTTTTCCTAGACCAGCAAGGCCATCTCCAAAGGGGACTTTCACCTGGCCAGCACAACTTCTCGACGAGCCCTCTTCCTGGCCATCCTCTCCATCACCCTTGGCACCGGTGTCTACGTTGCAGTGGTAGTGGCCCTGGTGGCTTATTTGTCCAAGAGCAGCCAAGGCTAATGGGGTCCCTTGAGCAGCCCTCAGTCCTTCCCTCACCAGTGGTTTGGGGGAGCCCTGAATCCCTCTATCCATGGGTACTAAAACCCTAGGTATCCTGGTGTTTGCAAACAAGCTGGAGCCAAGAACCTTGGACTCTCACTTTCCAACATGAACCCATTTCTGTCCCCCAAAAGGAGCTGCAAAAACAGTGATATCAGGCCCACATCCGCCTAGCCTCAGAAACTCTTGATCTCATCTCATTATATTTAGTTCTCCCCTCATTGTAGGCCCCACCCAAATAAGGGGTACAGGGAGCTTGTTTCACTGGTTCCCTTTTCCTGTCCTCCCTCAACTTTCTCCAACCTGTTTCATTCCCTTTGTTGAAGGGGGCACAGTGCCCCAAGTTATGCCGGGCCTAGTTGGCATGGGAGCAAGCCTGAGAAAGGCCGAAGACACAAACCCACCTCATTTCCACCCTGCTCTGTCCCTTTCCTGGAGACAGCTCCATATACATTGCAAGTAGCCAACTCCTTCACCCTCCCAAGTCTCAAGGGAAGGGAGAGGAGCATGGAAGAAGGATGGGACTGCTTGATATTCAGGTTGCTGATGGAGAAAGGGACACGCAGGAAGAAGCAGGAGACCTGATCCAAATCACATGAGAGCCACTGAAGAGTCAACCAAGCTGGAAACAGACTTGGTCCCCCCAGCACATGGATCTGGAACTTGCCGTCCGGCTACAACAAAAATGGATCGATTCTAATTTGCTTGTCTCTCACCAAATATGGGAAATGTCCATTTCAATTCAATTAGACAAATATTTATTAAATGCCTACCCTGTACTTTGCACAGGGCTAGATACTGAGGGAGATACAAAATTTAAAGAAGTTATATCTTTTATTTTCATGGAATTTTACAATCTAGTAATCTTTGATATATGATGAGATGTTTCTTTTTGCCACCTGGTGGACATGGTTGAGCTGTGAACAGAAAATGAATGATTGATCATTAAAAACCTTTAAAAATGTGTTTACTTTCATTTTTTCTAAAGTGGCGATGTCAAGAACCCAACCAAAGCATGGGCAGACATGGAGGAGAAAACAGATTGGTTGTTGAAACCTCAAAGTCATGAGGTCCCTTCTCTCCCAGAAGACCTAGAAGATCACAGGATCCTTGCTGTTATTATTGTTTGTCCTTCATTCTCAAAGGGGCATGACGTGGGAAGGTGATGTCATGACTTGCGAGTGAATTGGGATTTAAGTGAGGCAGGGCTGTGCAAAGTCACCAGCCTCACTCTCTCCTCAGGAGCCATCTAGGTCCAGTGGCAAGATAGAGATTAGGAAGACTGGAGATGGCCCCAGATGCAGTGGGGGACCTTGACCTTTTTAAATAAGGTCTTTCCCAGGTCTCAGTTTATCTGAGGCAACATTCAGTGATTAAGGTTAGTGATTAAGAATGAGGCAAAGAGGGGCAGCTGGGTGGTGCAGTGGATAGAGCACTGGCCCTGGATTCAGGAGGACCTGAGTTCAAATCCGACCTCAGACACATAACACTTACTAACTGTGTGACTCTGGGCAAGTCACTTAACCCCATTGCCCAACCACCCCAAAAAAATGAGGCAAAGTATAGCCTCTTTTACCCAGTCCAAAAAAAAGATTCAATTTGGGAGGGGAAGATGCTCAGGGTTTCTGGCCAAAACAGAAATGATTGCCATTTATACTTACTCTGAACCCCCAGAGCCCAAATAATGACCAAATGAGGCTTGGGCTGAGACCTATTGTTGGCCAATCAACAATTGTTGGCCTGAGTGATTTGGGTTTAAGGCATAGGCCTTAAAAAAAGAAATCCAGCCCGTAAACCCCAAGAGATCTTGTGAGGTTTCAGCGATCAAAATTTATATTCCTTTGGGTAGAGCACCCGCAGGTAGGAGTATGATTCCCTTTGTGGACAGAGGGAGAGGAAGGAGGGAAGGTGGGAAGGCAGGAAAGCAGGAAGGCGGGAAGGCAGGAAAGCAGGAAGGCAGGAAGGCAGAAGCTGTGTTGCCCAACTGAAACTGTCCAGTTGGTTCCCCAGTGGGGCAGCTACTCATACAGATTGTTGTTACTTGTCCTTCATTCTAGAAGAGGACCGTGACTTTAAGCAAGAAGAAACCTTAGAAGTCCAACTTGTCCAACTACTTCATTTTAGAGAGGAGAAAACTGAGGCTTAGAGAAATTACATGACTTGCCCAAGGTCTTTTTGTTGTTATTATTGTTGAGTTATTTGAATTGAGTCTAACTCTTTGTGACCCCATTTTAAGTTTTCTTGGCATAGATATTGCAGTAGTTTGCCATTTCCTTCTCCAGCTCATGTAACGGATGAGGAAACTGAGGCAAACATAGGGTTAAGTGATTTGCCCAGGGTCACATAGCTAGTTAAATGTCTGAGGCCAGATTTGAACTCAGGAAGATGAGTCTTCCTTACTCCAGGCCCAGCGCTCTATCCATTGTGCCACCTAGCTGCCCTTAAGGAGGGAGGACCGTTTTCAAATATTATGTGGCAGCCATCAGAGAGGGCTTCATGGAAGAGGTGACCCCTGAATTGGGCCTTGAAGGAAGGGAAGGATTTCAATAAGCAGAGATATGAAGGAAGTGCATTCCAGCCATAAATTCATGCAAGTGGGAAAAGGGGAGAGCAACCAGTTTGGCTTGAGCATGAAATATGTGAAGAGTGAAATAATGCTGGAAATGCTTTCATGTTCTGTCTCCTGTTAGACTCTAAGTTCCTTGAGGGCAGAGACCATAATTTACCTTTCTTTGTATCCCCTGGGTTTAGCATAGTCTCTGGCACATAGTAGGTGCTTAATAAATGCATGTTGATTGATTGAAAGGTAGACTGAAGCCATATTATGGAGGGTCTTATGTGCCAGGCTAAGGATTTTATATTTCATCCTACAAGCAATGGTGAACCACAGAGGGTTTTTTGAGAAGGGAAGTAAAGTGATCAAATGCATTAAGAAGATTTTGTCATCTAGGGAGAGGAAAGATGGGAGTCAGTGAGATGAGTTTGAAAGCTATTTCAATAACCTAGAAAACAGATAGTGAGGAAAAAAATAAGATCATACATTTAGAGCTGAACAGAATCTTAAAGGTCATAGAGTCCTACCCCCTCATTTTACAGATGAGGAAATTGAGGCATAGACAGGTTAAGTGGCTTATCCTGGGTTACGTAGGTAGAAGTGTCTGAGGTGGGACGTGAACCCAGATCTTCCTGACTCCAGGTCCAGAGCCTTATCTACGACACAACCATGTCTAGCACTGGGGAAGGAGGATTCCAAAAAATATTTGGCAGGTAGATTCTACACTCGGCAACAGATTGCTAAGAAACTAAAGCGTGGTCAGTGTCATACAGGAAAGCCTGACTGAAATCTAACCTGTGCTCGACTATGGAGAGAAGCAAGACGGGACTGCCTCGTTCCCAGGGGCAAATTTCACCTTCCTCAGACACCCTGGGGATGAAGGGCAGCTGCTCTAGCCTCAGTCAGACTGTCCCAGGAGTACACTTGAATTTATCCCAGACAAGGCCTGTGGTGGAGTCTCTCTCATTCCCTCCACTGAGGCCTTGGGCTGCACAGCTCTCCCCACCCTTGAATGCTACCTTCTTGGATAGACCACACTACCAGTCTGACGATAGGATTGAAACTGGACAAGAGGGGAGCCTTGGGCAGAGGGGCCGCCTGCAATACCCTGACTTCTTCCTCTTCTGCCTCTGGGCTCTCAGAATTTTTCTTTGTCATTATTGCAGTCACTTCCATATTCTTCCTTCCCTCCACTGTGGATAATTCTTCCAGTGGTTGTCAGCCTAAAAGAGGTTGCATTATTTCCCCTGCTATCTGAGGGTATGGGGTTAAGGGAGTTAGGACCCCTTCACTTCCAGGTACTTCTCCCAGGCATCTAGGCTGCATGTAGCAGCTCTGGGGCTGACACTTAAGAAAGCCCAAATTGTTCTGTTGGCAGCTAACAGCAGCAAATTATATTTGTAACCTTGATGCTCAGGCCTCTTGGGGATCACTCACTGTCTCCTCCACTTATCCTGAGGCAGAGTTTGAGGCTGGCATTTCGTCAAGATGCCACCTGACATTTTTTGGACGTGGCCAATGTGGGAATTTGTTCTTCTTGACTTTGCATATTTTTACAAAGCTTTTTTTTTTCTTTTCCAATGAGAAAGAAGATGGAGGGGAAGAAAATAGATTTTTGTTCATTCAAAAAATGAAATTAATTTTTTAAAGTATTCTATTGGATGAGCTCAGATAGGCGTGGTAGCTGAGAGACACGTGCCTCATCCTTGGAATGGGGATTAGTGGCTAGAGTGCCAGGCCTGGAGTCAGAAAGACATTTTCTTGAGTTCAAATCCAGCCACAGATACTTACTAGCTGTGTGACCCTGGGCTAGTCACTCAACCCTGTTGGCCTCAATTTCTTCTCAGCTCATCTGTAAAATGAGCTGGAGAAGGAAACGGCAAAAGACTCCAGGATCTTTGCCAAGAAAACCCCAAATGGATCACAAAGAGTCAGACACAACTGAAAATGACAGAAAACGAACAAAACACCTATACCATGAGCCAAACCCTCATATTTAACAAACTTTCCTTGCCCCCTCACTAACAGTTATAAGTATGAAGGTCTTGAGGTGGAGCTCCTGCCTCACCCATTCTTGACCTTTTAAAGGTAGATGAAGGGGAACAGTATGATACATCGAACCAGAGTTCAAATCTCCTATCTTCTACTTACTACCTGTGTGACCTTGGGTAAGGCACTTAACCTCTGCATTTCCTCATTTCTTAAATGGAGGGTGAGGTGGATTTTAGGCTAGATGACTTCTGTCATCTCTGACAGCTCTGGATCTATGATCCTAAGTTCCCTCTCTTTTCCTCTCCCTCCCTCCCTCCTCTCTTTCCCTTTCTCTCCCTCCCCAACTTCCTGCCAGTTTTCATGACTCCACAGCATATAGTTTACCCATTTTTCAAGTGAGGCTTTATAAAGTCCTTCAATCCTTTTATGCTACTTCTTCCAGGTGAGACAGAGATGAAAAGAAAAGAAAACAAACAAACAAAAATCCTCTTCAGACCTTTTGTTCTCTCACCATGAGTGCCTTTCATCTTTCCTTCTGCACCATCTTTCCCCTGAATGCCATCCTCGACCATTACCATGCATATCACTTGGGTTGGACATTTTATTTTCCCAGTTGCTCAAATGGGAAAGTGTGGGTCAGGGTACAGGGCAGGGAGGATGAGGAAGTATCTACTCATACAAATTTAGAGGTGAAAGGGACCTGGAGATCATATCCAACTGCATCTGCTAATTTGGGTTTTAGGAGAAAAGAGGGAGGGGAATGAAGGAAAGGGGAATGGAAGGGGCAGTGGGATGTGCGTACGCACCCCAGTCTTGACCTTCAGACTCTCTTGCTCACCTGAAGAACTGGGTTGGGAGACAGGGCAGACTAGCTGGTCCATTGGGAGGCTCTGGCTTCATGGAAGAGCCCAGAGGCTGATCAGAAAAGAGAGGTTAGTGTGTCCCAGACTTGATAGGCCATGCCAGGGAAAGAAGCACTGAATTTTACTGGACTGGGAATCAGGAGACCTGGGTTCTAGCTCCCATTCTATTTTCTGTGTGACTTTGAACATGCTTCTCTGAACCTCAGTTTCCTCATATGTAAAATGGGGCAGCTAGTGGCATGGTAGATAGAATGCCAGAGCCTGGAGTCAGGAAGACCCAAGTTCAAATCTGGCCTCAGACACTTACTAGCTGTGTGACCCTGGGTAAGTCCCTTAACCCTGTTTACCTCAGTTTCCTCATCTGTAAAAATGAGCTGGAGAAGGAAATG